CCTGTTCTGAACATTTCATATAATCAGGGTGATACAACTGTTATGACCTTTGTCTCTGGCATCTTTCACTTAGCAGAGAGTGTGCACAGTTCATCCATGGTGTAGCCAATGTCAGCAGCTCATTCCTTTTTTAAGGCTGAATAATATTCCACTGTATGATTAAGCCACGTTTCGTTTATCCAGTGGATAAGAGAAATGTCTGAATCTGTTCCTTCCTAAAAACTCCACTGGGAAATCAGATAGGAATTATTACATTTATTAATTTGGAGGGATCCAGATCTTTGTCTGCCTCTCTGTCTCTTGCTTTTTTTTTTGTCCTGTAATAAAGTTCTATAATTTTCTTCAAGTTGAACCTATAATTGCTTTTCAACTTCACTTCTAGTTATTTTATAATTTTTGCTGCAATTATGAGTGAATTTCCCCATTGTTCCTTCTAATTAGCAGAGAGTAAAACTATCAATTTTTTTTTGGTGTGTAAACTATCAATTTACTTTGCATCCTGTCGGTTCCCAAATTGTCTTATTAATCCCAATGGGTTGTCTTAGTAGGCTCTCTTGGGTTTTCTTAGTATACAGTCACATCATCTGCAAATAATGTAATTTTTTCTCTTTTCCGATAGCAACAGATTATTTTCTTGCCTTATTTCATTAAATACTACAAAAACACTGTCAACTGATGTCTGTTTTTTTTTTTTGTTTGTTTGTTTTTTTAAAGAGAGCAAGAGAGGGCATTAGCAGGGTGAAGGGCAGAGGGAGGAGACTCCCACTGAGCAGGGAGCCTGACTTTGGGGCTTAATCCTGGGACTCCAGGATCATGACCTGAGCCAAAGTCAGACACTTAACTGACTGAGCCACCCAGGCACCCCCCAATAGGGGTATTCTTGATTTGCATTTTGATAGAGCATGGCTTCGGTTCTTCATCAGTGAATGTACTATTTGGTATCGGATATTTTTTCTTCCTTTAGTTGTATCATATTTAAGCAATTTCCTTTTGTTCTCATACTAAATGTTTTATTCAGCATATATTTGTTTTTAACCTTGGGGAGGAAGACATTTTGAAGCAAGATCGAAACCTAGAAACCACAAAGCCAACAAAAGACATACTTGACTTCACAAAAATGAGAAGAAACAGGTTTTGAATGGCAAAATACTATGAGTGAAGACCAAGGTCAAACTAAATGGAAAGTCAAGGAGGAAAGCATTTGCCAGCCATCTACCATCCCTAACATATAAGCAGCACCTACAAATCAATATGAGAAAAATAAACCACTTAATAAAAAATGGGGTATGGGTTCAAACAAACTAGCCCACAGAAGGGCTAGTGTGGGGCTGACCTCCCCTCGTCCCAGGCCCAGGCCCATCACAAGGATGGTTCCAGGTGGCCTGGGCTTCCAGTCTCCCACGGGGGTCCAATAGCCACCCGAATGCCTCTGTGAGCACACGGTAGGAGCTGCAATGGCCAGGGGAACCAAACTCAATCAGAAAGCACAGGTAATTTTTAGTGTATGTGCTACTGTAGCAAGCACAAAACAGGTACCATTTTTAAGATTTATTTATGTATTGGGGGGGAGAGAGAGGGAGAGAGATATAGAGGAACAGGGGTAGGGGAAGAGAAGAGAGAGCATCTGATGCCAGGAGTAGCTTTTTTTTTTTTTTTAAGATTTTATTTAGTTATTTAAGAGACAGAGCAAGAGCGAGAGAGAGGGGACATGTGAGAAGGGTTGGGGGAGCAGAGGGAGAGGAAGAAGCAGACTCCCCGCATGATCCCACAACCCTGAGACCACAACCTAAGGAGATGCTTAGCCGATGGAGCCCCCCAGGTGCCCCCTTGGATCAGCTTTCATGCTGGGAAGCAGGGACTGTGGGGCAGGAGGGGGATGATGGTCCTGGGGTTTCCAGAGGCAGGTGCTCTGCTTCATGAGGGGAGCTGCTTCATGAGAGTGGGGGTGGTTTTATAGTCCTCAAGTCTCTCTTGGGGTTGTCCAACAGAACTGTGACCCAGGGGAGTCTGCAGGCCCTAGGTAAAATCCTTCCACAGTTTTTCAAATATCCTGATGGGGTATGGTTAGTTCATTCATTCATTCATTTATCCACTCTTTTACCTAAGAAGCCTCTATCCCATGCCTCTCCCATGCTAGGTAGTAAGGAACTGGCCTATTCAGGATAGACATGGCCCTGCCGGAATGCAGCTTCCAGTGTGGTGGGGGTGGGGCCCCACCCCAGTGCTGGTCCCTCTATTTCTGCCTGGCCCTGAGCTCAGTTTGGGTTGAATGGGGTGCTCTAAGGGCTAGGCTTACCACACAGGCTCTCACTTGGCCCACAAACTATAGTTTTGACCCCAACCAACTGCTAGGCACCTGGGTATGGCTGATGGTAGGCCTGGGGAGAGGAAGCCACGCCTGGAGCTGGAAAAATGTTAATTGGTTCTCCGGTTGTCAGTGGTTTGGAAAGGCCCCGTGAGGTCCCTATGCCAGACTCCCAAGGCTGCCAGCCAGGGGCTGTCTGCTGCCAGGAGTCTGACAGCCTGGAGAACAGCTTGAGAAGGAATTGGGACTGAGGCAGTAGCCCCTGGCAGCTCGGGAGGCTTCCAGACAGGCAAGACAGAGCATTAGTGTGGGGCTGCCACAGGCCTGACCTCCAGACCTGTATGCCACCAGGAAGCCACAGAAGGGCTAGTGTGGGGCTGACCTCCCCTCGTCCCAGGCCCAGGCCCATCACAAGGATGGTTCCAGGTGGCCTGGGCTTCCAGTCTCCCACGGGGGTCCAATAGCCACCCGAATGCCTCTGTGAGCACACGGTAGGAGCTGCAATGGCCAGGGGAACCAAACTCAATCAGAAAGCACAGATCCCACTTCTGCAGAGGCTCATCAAAGAGGACAACCACAGCATCAGGCTTGTGACCCCCTCCTTGCAAATCCCTGGTGCTTTGGTTCCCGTGGCAGAGAACCTCTGAGCTTTCGTCCTCCCTCGCCAGCAATGCCTCCTCCATGTCGTCCACCAGCTCCTAGTCTTCCTCCCTCTCGACTGTGGGCTTTCTCAGGCCTGAGTTCTCAGGCCTGCCCACACCGCGTACCTCAGTTCTCAGGCCTGCCCACACCACGTACTCCATGCACCCCCCAGTGTACCCCATCTCTGCATGTATGCAGATACCCTCTGGGCCTCTCCAACCAGCCTGGAGCCAGCAACTGTCACTTTTCTGCTGCCCATGGGCAAGACACATAAGTCATCTGCCTGGACCCCCCTTCCTGCTCGTCACTAAAATGGGGATCATCACAGAACTGCAACATGCCTGGCCCGGGGGCTGCACAAAGGATGTGCTGCCTCCTGCTCCAGAACCCTGGAAGCTTCTGACCCAGTCTGCAGACGGAGCCCAAGTTCACCTGGAGGACCTCCACGTGGTCTGGCCTGGCCACAGTGCAAACTCAGTTAATAAACCATGCCACCTGCGTGTGTGTGGGCTGCTGGCCTCCTCACCCGCATCATCAATAGGCCATCTGTGTCTATACGACTGCGGGGAGGGAGACCCTGTCCTTCCCAGGGGTGTGCGTGAGCACATGAGTGTGTGTGAACGTGTGCCCCGTGTGGATGCTGAGCACACAGGGCAGTGAGGGCCCCTGGGGCCCACTCAGAACAACATTCTGTCTCCCCAGCTGTAACTCCTCCATCACCCCAAGGGACACAGGTGTGCCCCGAACAGGGCAGGGGCAGGAGGAAGCCTCAGCTGGAGGGTGGAAAAGGGACCGAGTGGAGGAGGGAGCCACTTCTCCAGAAAGCCCCATTCCGGGCTCCTCCCTGAGGCCAGTGCCATGCAGCCTGTGCCCCTGCCCGCCTGCCCAGGGGACCCTTGCCCTTGCCCACGGTTCCTACAAGGGTTTTGCTGCGGCAGTGATGGCGAACTTGTGGGAAGGAGAAGTGCAAACAGAGGCCAGCAGAATTTGCGAGGAAGGCCTTCTGGACAAAGAGGCGGGGGACGCCTAGGAGAGGGTTTCAGGAGAACAGAGACCCCGCTGTTAATGCCGGTCATGGCTGGACAGGCTGACCTACAGCTGACGTTTACTTTCCACAGGATATCACTTGGCAGCCTTCAACATTTTGTAATAAACACACCTTAATTTTGCAACAAGGGGAAAAAAAGCCCAAAAGATAGATGCCAGGTCTTAAACCAAACACAAAGATCTTTAAGAGCCCCCCAAAACAGCTGCCACGTCTACACGGACCCTAAACTTGGACCCTTTAGGCCAGAGGAGTGAGGGCCCAGAGGATAAGACCCAGCCTTTTGGTCCCATCTCAGCCATACAGCAGCTCAGTAAGTGCAACCTCTTCTCTGGGCCTCAGGCTACAGGTCTCTAAAACAGGGCTTAAATACCCACCCTGATCACCTCTGGAGCCTGATGTGAGACCGGGAATTTTAAAAATGAAGATCACGAACATTAAAGCATCCTGCAAACCAGGGAGGGCCGCCTACCATACCAGGTACTGTGACCACCAGTGGGGCTGAGCTCCCTTCCGATGGCAGCCACCTGGCCGGCTGCCACAGCAGTGCAGCTTCCATGTGACCCAGAGGGCCCTGGGCACAGTCATCTTGCTCATTAGGACCAGGGAAGCCAGGAGTCCTCCCTTCCTGAGATGCAGCAGAAGCACCAAGAAGAGATGGTACAGGCCAGCTTTGGAAAGCTGCGTTTTCATACTTTGCGAGAAACCTCAGCAGGTATCACGCTCCTGTGAAGATCCACAGTGCTCACAGCATCCCTAGCCCCAAAGGAGCCTTTGCTTGTGAAATGGCCTCCCAATGGACCCCCTGCTCCAAGCGATCCCTGTGCTAAGGTCCAGCTGCCCATGTGGGTGTGGGTGGCAAGCTGAGGGCCCAGGGAGGGACGATGTGCCAGGAGGAGCCCTGTGCAGGTGTGGCAGACACCGGCCTGGTGCCTTGGCATTGCCCAGCTGGCTGACAGCAGGATTGTGACAGCTGCTATCTTGGGACAGGTGGCAAAGGGGACTTACCTCTCCCTCGGGCCCACGTGTAGACACGACTAGTCTCAGTGCTTCTGGGCTTTTGCTCGGTGGGCTCCATGGGCAGAGGTCGGAAGTGGGGGTCATCGGCCCGGCCAGGGGTCTTCAGCGGCAGGATGTACTTGGGGAGCCCTTTGTAGAACCAGGCCCCCGACCTCTTCCAGACCTGGCAGGGGTGACATCTGCTTAGAGCAAGGGATGCAGGGCAGCCCTCCCTGTACTGCACTCCCACACTGGCCCGCCCTCCTCTCCTGTTGGAAAGGGCTCTGTGCTGTGGGCGCCCAGAAGGTGCCCCACATGCGTTCCTCCCCTCTGCCCCTTCCCTCGAGGCTCTGGGGCAGAGCGAGAGGCAGGAAGCTCGGAGAAGGGCCGGGCTGGGGGACGGTGCAATACTGGAAGCTGTTCTGGAGAGCTCCCCGGGGATGAGGCATGCTCTGTGCCAGTGCAGGGAGGGCCCCAACCTCAGAGAGTCCCAGGTTAGAATTCCTAGCAGCACTGAGATACGGTCATCGAACTCTCCATGCCTACTTCAAGAAATGCCAAGTACTCCCTGATCTCTTTTCCACCGAAGGATATACGTTCAGGGTATTCAGTAAGAGGAGGGGGACAGTGTGAAGGAACGTGACCTTCTCAGAGAAGACTTTGGCAATTCAGAGCAGACGGCTTGGGTCCAAACCTTGGATCTGTCACCGGGCCGCTGTGAGATAGGGACACATGGACCTTCCAGATTCCCAGTTTCATCACCAGGAGGTGGAATGTAGGAAGAGTTCCTGTCTCACAGGGCAGCCACGAGGACCAGACTCTGGAATGAATGTAAGACGCCACCAGACAGATGTGATGCTTATGGCCGTCACTGCCACCCTCTTCCTCTCATCTGACAGATAAGGAAATCCTAAAACCAGTGGACCAAGTTCCCGAGTAATTTATTTATTGGAGAGGGAGGTGGGGAGGGGTAGAGGGAGAGAAGAGAGAGACTTTTTTTTTTTAAATTTTATTTATTTATTTGACAGAGAGAGATCACAAGTAAGCAGAGGGGCAGGCAGAGAGAGAGGGGGAAGCAGGCTCCCTGCTGAGCAGACAATGTGGGGCTTGATCCCAGGACCCTGAGATCATGACTTGAGCTGAAGGCAGAGGCTTAACCCACTGAGCCACCCAGGCGCCTCAGGTGAGAGACTCTTAAGCAAGCTCCACGGCGGGCTCCGTCTCACAACCCTGAGATCATGACCTGAGCCAAAATCAAAAGTTGGACGCTTAACTAACTGAGCCACCCAGGGCGCCCCTCAGAAGAGAGAATTTAAAATCAGAAGGCCAGAGGTTGCCTTGATTTTCTCTAGAACAGAGTTTCCTAATCCCCAAGCCTCCTCTGTACCTTAGTTCTATGGCTTGTTAACACAGACTGGACCAAAAAAAAAAAAAAAAAAAAAAAAGTTCCTAATCATGTACACTTGGGAAGCACTAAGTTAAACAACAAAGCATTACTGCAGGATTTCTCAGAGCCTTTAAGATACCAAAGTACATACGGTTCTCCAACAGAGCCAAAGAACATACAGTGCTTCCCACTTAGAATCTACTCAACAGGTTTTCCTAGAGAAGCTCAACCCAGGTAATTGGTCTGCACAGACTCAGCACCTAACTGTGCAGCACTGAAATCACTCAGCTATCACGAGTCATCTTCTTATGCTCCAGAGTGCTAGGCCTGGGGCCACTGAGTCCCAACCCTGTCCCTGGCTCGAATCACTCACCCCTCCCTCCCAGGTACCCTTGCAGAAGGGCCTGCTTTCGTGTGGCTCTTAATAACATAGAATCCATCCGATAGGATGAATGCCTGTGGAGCCCCCTTTAAAAAACCCTTTCTGATCCTCTCATAGCCCTCCTACAGTAAGTATTTATTTGAATTGACAGCGTGTACACATAGTCTAAAATTGACGTGGTGCAAAATTAAAAAGTCTCCTCCCCATTGCCAGAGGCATCTGGTGATAAGTTCTTTGAAGAAGTTCTGTTACTATCCCCACTTTCCAGATGGGAAAATTGAGGCTCCAACAACTTAAGCAACTTGCCCAAGGCCAGCCCTCATTCTACTGGCCTCTGTTCCACAGTGGAGGCCCCAGAGTCTCAACCCAACGTTTACAGATGCAAAGTAGATGCTCACTAAGTGTGGCTAAGTGGTGAGTAAAGCCTCAGCAGGGCAGACCTCATGGGGACTGAGTGTCCTGCAGACTGGGCGCCTTGAGGGGAGGGAGCTGCCGTACAGGCAGAGGGAAGGGGCTCAAACAGTGGCTGCCAAGGCCACCTTGTCTCGGCGGAGCTGCTACGTGGTTCTTGAGAACACAGGCCCAAGGCCAAGAGGCCACAGGTGGCCAGCGAGGGGCTCACTCTGCCTCTGCTTTGCCTGCCCTCCTCTGAGCACACCGGCCTCCTGCCCCCCAACATGGGCTGGGCTTCGGGGGGACTGAATGGAGCAAGCCCTCAAGAACCAACTGTATGCCCAGGGCATGGACACAATTTGTTCTTAAGGATCGTGTAGACGCACCCTGTGTTTGCCTCCCACCTAACCCTGCACCAGAGCAACTGTTCTGTGTCTCCACCACCCCTTTTTCATGGCTTCAGAGTTTGGATTTATGAAACCTAATTAAACCAGCCTTCCACTGATAGACATTTACCTGTTTTCCAAAGTTCCACTCTTGTGAACAGCGCGGCAGCGATCATCTTTGCAAACACAGCAGTCAGGTGTCCGTTATGGCCTTACACCCATAATGGGTATAACCAAAACACCCTGGGGGCGGATCTGCTGGGTCAAGGCATGTGTCTAAGTTTAGATGGGGACATCCATTGCCAGACCACCCTCCAGGAAGAAGAGCTGAGTCTCTAGGGGAGTGCTAAATGCCTTCAGGCTGGGAAGCCTTCACTACATTTCCTGGTGAGATCTAGGGTCTGGCCTGGGGACCGGCTCAGAGCAGTTCCCACGGGCTGCCGGATGTGGGGGACATGCATGTCGGGACCTGAAGCCACCAGAGTTAGGTGCCACAGGAAGGAGGATGGGGGCCCCATGGTCCCCTCTGGGGCACATTGTGTGGGCCTCTTTGAAGGGGACTGGAGGGGATAACACCAAGGGCAGTGTTAGTAACACCCAGTGACAAGGTTTATGTGTTCGTGCTGTGTGGCTTTCAGTGGGACGGACCAAGAGATGATACGGAGCTGCGTTTGGAGACTCCACAGGGCCAGACGCATGCCTGATCCTCACTGAGGCCTCATCGTGGGCTTCTCGGCTCTTCCTCCAGAGCTGGGACTATGGTTCTGGCCCAGGCATGTGCACAGTCCTCACTTTCCTTCTTTGTTTTAAATTAAAATTAATTTTAGTTTAAAAAATATCCATAGGTGGCTCAGTTGGTTGAGTGTCTGCCTTGGGCTCAGGTCATGATCTCTGGGCCCTGGGATCAAGCCCTCTGTCTTGTTGTCCAGCTCCCTGATCAGCAGGGAGTCTGGTTCTCCCCCTGCACCCCACCCCGCCTGCCACCCTGCTCATGCATACTATCAACTAAATAAAATATTAAAATATTAAAAAATAAATCCATAACATGAAATTTACCATCTTAGCCATTTCTAAGTGTATGGTTCGGTAGTGTTAAGCACATTCATGTTGTATAACCCATCTCCAGAGCACTTTTATCTTGTAAAATGGAAATTCTGCACCCACAGAACAACAGCTCCCTAGTCCCCTGTCCGCCCAGCCCCTGACAGCCACCATTCTACTTTCTGAGAATCTGACTCAGAAAGAATTTGATGACTCTAGGTACTTCATATGAATGGAATCGTGGGGTATTGATCTTTTTGTGACTGGCCTTTCACTGAGCATAACATCCTCAAGGTGTCGCAACCTGTGTCAGAATTTTCTTCCTTTTTGAGGTTCAACACTAGTATTCCATGGTAGGTCTACACCACATTTTATCTAGCCATTCATCCATGGATGGACACTTGAGTCATGTCTGCCTTTTGGCTCGTCCTTTCATTTTATGTTTTTAAGATTTTATTTATTTGACAGAGAGAGAGAGCACAAGCAGGAGGAGCAGCAGGCAGAGGGAGAAGAAGCAGGCTCCCTGCTGAGCAAAGAGCCCGATGCAGGGCTCGATCCCAGGACCCTGGGGATCATGACTTGAGCCAAAGGCAGACGCTTAACCAACTGAGCCACCCGGGGGCCCCTGGTCCTTTCACTTTTAGAGACCACTGGGCTCTACCATCCAGGAAGGGGCCCAGGGACAGGGCACTCACCACTGTATCTTCGAACTCCTAGCACGTGTCTGACACACAGTAGGTGCTCAGCAAACAGGCTGCATGGCTGAACTGGCAGCTATAGGTAGTTTGCCAAAAAGTGTCCCAATCCACACAGCTGTCACCTTCCTAGAGATGTGACCTGAGGGTTTCACCTAAGTCCTTGTAATTAATGAAGTGTATTAACTGTTTCAGATTAAAGAGGGATAAAGAAGAAGTGTTCAGGAGTGCCTGGGTGGCTCTGTCAGTTAAACGTCTGCCTTGGGCTTAGGGCACGATCTCACGGTCGTGGGTTGAGCTCTGCATTGGGCTCCTTGCTTAGTGTGGAGTCTGCTTCTCCCTCTCCCACTCCCGCTGCTTGTGGTCTGTTAAATAAATAAATAAAATCTTAAAAAAAAAAAAGAAGAAGAAGAAGAAGAAGAAGAAGAAGTGCTCAGCAGGGCGTACCAGTGTCCAGCATTCTCCTGCAAACCTCCCTGACTATGTACTCCCAGCCCTTCCTACAGCGCCAGTGCCACCCGCAGCCCGGGCTGTCCCTGGGTCCCCTGGTTCATCACAGCCAACAGGCCCCAGGCCCTCAGCCTCATCTCCTGTTGTAATGATCCACCTCCACCCCGACCCCATGCTTAAAAGAATACTGATCAGTAAAGTGCTTTTAGAAAATAGGATAAAGATGGCAACCCTCTTGGGTCCCCTCACTCTCTGGGAGCTTTGTACCATCACTTTGCTATTGCTCAACAAACCTACGGTGCCTCGGTGGCTCAGTGGCTTAAGCCTCTGCCTTCGGCTCAGGTCATGATCTCAGGGTCCTGGGATCGAGCTCCGCATTGGGCTCTCTGCTTAGTGGGGAGTCTGCTTCCTCCTCTCTCTGCCTGCCTCTCTGCCTACTTGTGATCTCTA